TAATCGGCCTTTCTCTGGGCACACGGACCTTCTTCCTTCAGCTCTTTGAAATGCTAAAAATCAGTCCTAGAAATTCATTTCTCTCTTCTGGAACTCCTGGGTTCCGAAGGACCCCAGATCACGACCCACTGGCCTGGTGGGCTCCAGAACAGGGGTTCTCAAACTTGGGCATCAGGATTGGCAAGGAGGGCATGTTCCAACATAAATCCCCGGGACCCACCCCCCAAGGGTCCGGTTGTGGAGGTCTGGGTGGGGCCTGAGCACTGGCATTTCTGACAAGCTTCCAGGTGAGGCTGAAGATACCGGCCCAGGGGCCACACCTTGAGAACCACTGTTCTAGATGCTGCCCCAGGACACCAGCCCTTTGATTCTGCATTTCTGTCCTTACCTGCAATACTGAAGAAGCTGGGTTCTGTCCTGCAAGCCTGGGAGGGAGCGACCCCTTGAGAGCAGGCAGGCACGGCCATGGCCCTGCCTTTGTTGCCAGAGCTTCCACCAACAGCAGGCTCCCCCACCACCCTGTGCTAGAGGGTCGGCCCATCCCCTTCATTGATGCCTCAGTGGCCCCAGGGCCCATGTTCTCCTTTTCCCGGGCTCCTGTCGGAGGCATGAGGTTAGTGTCCAGAGCAGGGGACTGCAGGAGGCCTGTTCTTTCCTTGGGATCTTTTTCTGAGCTTTCGTAAGCAAATGTTTATATACACAGCTGACCCAAATTAGCTGGAGCTGCGGGACCGAAATAGGAATAGGCCGTAACTAAACTCTGAAGCGAGAACACGAATTCCCTTGTGAGAAGTGATTAATCTTCCTCCAGGGGGGGAATGAGTTAGATGTGTGGCTGACTGAATTTACAACCATATTTTAATTTGAAATCACATTGACTTATTTTTTTTAATTTAGAAATCCAAATTCCTTTTCCATCTCAAATGTCAACGTCCCCCAAAAAACAAAATTTTACCATTTGATACTCCCAGGGCTGGCAGCAAGAGGTCCTTTGTGTATTTTCCAAAAAGCCAACTTGAGGGGGGATGCATTATGGCTTTCACTGGCCCTCAGGGGAGCTGGCTAAAACCCACATTCTCTGGAGTCATGGAAAAAGCAAATGTCAATCACAGAGCCATGGCAAGATAGTTCTCTGTGGGGTGACCCCAAACCAGCACCCCATATAACATCCCTTAAGCCCCGAGGAGACTAGCGTGTGGTAAAATGCAGTGTGTGGACCTCTTCGGCTCTCTTCCCGAGTCCTTGCCAAATGGACATAGCATTTCCCACTGTGTCTCTGTGATAGAAGTTTCCAGAAGACCTTTGTGCTCCTGGCATCAGAGACCTGGACTGTGCAAATCATTTCACAAGTTATTAACACCAAGAAGTGATAAATTAGAGCTCTCCAAGGCTAAGATACAGGAAATGCCCTGCTTCGAACAATTAATAAGCTCTGCTAATGGGAACTGGAGAGCCTCAGGGGGCAAGAGAACCAGATAAATTCCTCCTAATTCCTAAGCCCAATTAAAACCAATTGGGTTTGGAATGTAAGTGATACTGCAGGATAGATTCATACTAAAAGGATGTGTGAATGCTTTTTAATCACTTAATACAGCCACACAAAGATCATTTCCTTTCTGGAGTATACAAGTGATAAGGCCAGCACCAATACGTAATCCCAAATTAGATGACCACCAGACGGTAGGACAGAGGTGAAGACCTATCCCTTCAAATTGTATAGATTCACCAGGGTCCCCTGGACCTCAAGCAAACTTGTAGGCTCTGGTTGCCCGGGGATACAGGAGTTGCTCTCAGAGCACCATCAATATAAATTGCAACTGTGATCAAATGCAGAAAAAGACAAGCCTCCTTACAAGGTATGGCGACCAGACCCAAATCAGAGAAAATGCACAAGCAGTGCATTAGAATGGCACATTTCTCCAGATGATTTCCCAGAGCTCCTGAGTGGGGACAAATGGAGGGTGTGGTGGGGTAGGGGGGCCATTGGAAATGGCAGATTTTGCAAAGAAGCCTGTTTTAAGAGTAAAAGCAGCAAAGGGAAACGTATTCACTCAATGGGAAATGTTGATAGTCAAGCAGCACGTTCCATTATTTTTCCTATAAAAAGGGAAGCCCCTTAATCTCTGCTCAAAGTGAGGAGGAGGGTATTCGTCCAGTATATTTGACACAAGGCAGCCAGGTGGGACTATTCGGCAAGCCCCTTTGGTCAACGCTCCTTTGTTCCCCTGAGGCAGGGACACTGAGAGGGAGCATGCCTTCCATAGAGAGGCTTCCCAAGCCATACCCTCCATAGAGAATAAGGTGCCAGGACTGCAATGCCATTTGCTTGATGTCCAGCAAGCACTCTTGAAATCTGTGCTCAAATTTAAAATTTACCTTAAAGACTGAACAAGACACACCCACTCACACTCACACACACATAGCCCCAAGCTCCAGTCTGGCTAGAGACCCAAATTTTTAAGCTCGCCAAGCCTTGGAAGAATATTTCATTGCCCGCCGCTTACAGGTGGACATCTGCTGGAGTGATATTAGAACCCCGGATCCTGTGGTTCATCAGCTTGTCCAGACTTGCAGTTCAGAAAAGTATTCAGTGCAGTTTCATGAGCTCGGACTAACCTCATCACTCAGAACGCAGAGTTGATTGCTTGTGGCTCTGGATTGATTGTTTCAGGGACTCAGGAAAGCTCATGAGAGATGCGGAATGTTGCCCAACGATGTTCTGCTTCTCTGGTAAGTCAGAAGAGGTTCCCCACCACGGTGGAGAGCAGGAGGAAGAGGGAAGGATGGAGGCAGCATCGGGTCTGGGCTGTTCAGAGTGCTGTGTGCTCTGGCTGACCCATACATGTATCTCCTCGGTGTTAATGTTTTGAACAGCAAGAAGTGAAGGAGTGAAGTTGTCAGAGCACCTACGCTCTTAGCCCTAACTGTGTGACCCTAGGCAAGTCAGCTGATTTTTGTGGACTCAGTTTCCCTATTCTGTTCAGGGCAGGAGCTCATTTCACCATCTCCAGGGCCCCTTCTGGCCCTCAAAGTCTGATTCTGTGCTTCTCACCCAGCACCCTTAGTTGCATGTTCCTGTCCGACCCATCACGGACCTTGTCCCAAGTTCAAGTCCCTTCCTGCAGGCTGGGGCGCCCCTCCCGTGGCCCTCAGCCTCCACCCAGACTTCTGCACTCAGGGGCAGGGCAAAGTGGAAAAGGGCGTTAGGCACCCCATCCGCCCTTCTCCCTCACTCTGGATCTGTGTCCAGCCTCCCACAGGTCCCCGTGCCTCCCCAGGATCTCGGAATGCCCTGTCTCCACCACCTGTCTCCCTGTCGCACGTCCGCCTCTACCGCTCCTCCTGTTTTCAGCCTCAATTCCACCCTCCTCTGTATCTTCTGGCTTCAGGGAAGCTGATGTCCTCCGGGCCTCTCCTCTTCAATTGCTTGTGGCCTAATAAAGGTGCTCACATCCATCCTATGCACAGCTCACCAAGCGCACCGGCAAATCCTGTCTTTGCTGCTCAGTGCCCTGAGCCCCCCTCGGCTCACGTCCCTGTCTTTCCATTGCAGCACTGAAAAACCCAACCGAATTCCATGAGCAAAGAAAACATTTGGATAGTGACAAGGTAATTTTTTTTTTTTTTCAAACTGCCCTCTTTCTGAACTTGGACTCCAGGGTATGGATCTCTGAGTGCTCAGCTTTGGCTAAAGCAGGTGGAATTTCTACCACAAACTTGATACACCCCCCCAACACCCCGCCACACCATAGGGAATCTTATTCCTACGAACTGAAAACTGGAGAAATGCAATTGACCACGTTTCGCTTTGAAACTATTTTTTAGCTTAAGAAAATGTCCCCAGTCTTCCTGATGTTGGGAAGTTCATGGCAAGGATGCTAAAGAAGTCAAGGAGACTTCAAAGAGCCTTCCAGCCCTTTCTTACAATCAGATTTGTAAAAACTCCAATGTAATACTAAGCTAAGGCCTGTGAATACAGAGCTGATTGGCAGGTACCTAAAGGCAAAAGGCTTTCTGGTTTATTCCTCTTTCTGTTTTTGTTTGTTTAGCACTCCGGGGCGGGGGGGAGGGTGGCATATATTCTGTACCTTCATAGTAGATCTCTGCAAACTGAACTTATCAATAATAAATACTATTTAGCTGGCATCAGCCCTGTATGAGAAGGAGATGCAAAGGGGGTGCCTTTCTCCTGGGATTTCTTTGTCTACGAGTTCTAGCCCTGCAGCGAGGTTGTGGGTGGAGAGAAGAACAACCTCTTCACAGTTGCTCCTGAGAGATTTTGGTCCCTGCTACCTGGATAACAAGTGTCTTCTATCAGAACGGGAGTGATCTCCTGACCCCTCTTAGGGGTCAAGTAGGAGATCCAGTATGATGGGATCAAAACTCAGAACTAGATAGAAATCAGGGCCTGACAGATCCAGGTGTGGCCCTGCCAGAGCCCACATCCGTTCCCAGAGACAGCTCCACCATCAAGAAGAAGACGGGACTCGGTAAATCATCTCCGTGTGTCCTTCCCACTCACGGTGCTCCTGAATTTACATTTTCACAGGTCCTAAAAGAGATGGCCAGTGAATTCTTGGAAGAGGGCATAGGTTGTCGTGTTCTACTAGATGGACTCAGGTTTCATTTCATCTCTAACCTTAGTTAGTTTCACGGCTGTTTTAAGAGTCCGAGGAATAGAATTGACTGGAGTACAAGCAAGTTAGTATTATCAGAGCTTTATTAATATTTTATTAGCACGTACCTGCCTGGCCTTTAAGTGTGCAGCCCTGATGGGGACCCAAGCTCCTTTCCTCTTTCCTGAATTTTTCCATCCTAAAATTACTAGAGAGGCTTTTGCAAGCATTCCTGCATCAGAATAGAGGAGACCAGAGCGATTTGCAGGTTCGGTTTGTCAAAAGAAGGATTGTTCTCCCCTTTGAGAGAAATCGAGGCTCTTTTAAAGTCAAAACGAGGCAGTTCAACCCTGTGAGCGGAACATGCTCTGTTTGTGCTTGCAGACTGAAGACTCCTTGAAGCACAAGGTCAGAAACAGGCCCGATCGTGCCGCTGACGTGGTTAATATGCACATACTCCAAGGTGAGACCGCACCCAAGCATGACCAAGGATGCCCGCCAATGGTGGGCATGTGCTGGAGTTCTTTTCTCTCTGAGTCCTCTTAATAAATGTCCCCTGCCATTCCAGAGTGGTCGTTTGAGTCCCTCTAGGGCCACCGAGTGTTTATAGTCTGATTCTGTGATTTAAAAACACGTAGCCCAGGGGCACCCACCTGGCCAGCTCAGTTGGTGGAGTGCACGACTCTGGATCTCGGGGTTGTGGGTTTGAGCCTCACGTTGGGTGCAGAGATTACTTAAAAATAAAATCTTGAAATATATAAATTAAAAAAAAGTAGCCCTAACGATAAATATAAATAGTTAAGAAAGACACCCGTCTATTAAAAACAGTTGACTCAAAGTGGGGAGTTTCTCGATGCTTTCATTGTCTTTCATATACTCCTTTAGCATTTCCCATACTTAGGCTGGACAAGTGTGTAATAATACTACAATCAAAAAAGCATGAGAGGGGCGCCTGGGTGGCTCAGTCACTTAAGCATCGGACTCTGGATCTCAGCTCAGATCTTGATCTCAGGGGTTGTGAGTTCAAGCCCTGTGTGGGCTCCATGCTGTGCATGGCGCCTACTTGGAAAAAAAAAAAAAAGGCATGAGAAATGTTATTTGCTACATCATCACGGTCTTGAATTAAAATAGACTGTGAACTGCCATGGCCCCCAATTCAATTGCATGACTCTGGTGGTTCCCATGGGATCCTCTCTTCTCCCCAACAGAAATTGGGAATTAGTGCCCTAGGGCACCAAGGATCTGCTGGATACAAAATGACCCCTCTTTGCAAAGGTTCTGGGTCTAGTTTTAGAAGCAGCTGCTTAAGACCAAGGGCCGTGGCTGTAAGTGCTAGAGGCAGTCACAGCAAAGGAGGCACGAAAGAACAGACTTCGGGCTGGGACCCGAAGAGTAGCCTGCTGGGCTGGTGGTGGGGAGATGGTAGGAAGCTCACCAGGGGAGGGAACCAAGCAAAGGTACAAAGGTGAACTCAGTAAGATGTGAGGGACAGAAGGGGGAGGACCAGGGTCACTGGAGTGGTCCCTTGGGTATGGAGCATCTCCATTCCTGACATAACCAGAGTGATAGAGAAGCATCATGTAGGGGGTTTCAAGGGAGGAGTGCTCCTCAGGATTAATTGGTGCATAGGATAAATCAGAAAGATCCTTGAGGCAGGGGACCGAGCAAGAACCCCTTGCCCTGACCTGACGGGATGTTAGGGGAGGCTTGGGGAGGACCTAGTCTCAGTACATGTATTCTTAGGTTCGGAGTACTGATGTTTTGTCCACCCCGCGTCAGGTGCTTTACAGATACAACTTCTAGATGAGATCTGACCTGTTGGAACCATACCACGTCCCTAGAGCGTTCCTGTATGGAGATTTCTAGATCAGCCACCAGACACGAGGTCTGGGTTAGCGGGTGGATAATAATACAGTGATGGGGCTGGGAGGCTGGTGTGTAAATATCTCCTCTTTTAAAACTGCCGACTTCAGAGTAAAGCTACAAACTTTGGAATCCTAACAGGTCTGCCTTACAGACCTAACAGGTCTCCACAATCCTAACAGGTTGACCAGACTCTCCTCCAAGTTCTTACACAGAAATAAGTCTGTGAGTAATCGGAAGAGGAATATACGGGTGATTCAGGGCTTGATAGAGACCTTTGTCACCATCCAAATGATGAGAAACTGCCCATCGGATGAATTCAATTTTTAAACCCCCCCTGTTTAATTAAGTAACTGTTTCAAAGGGATTTTTTTAAATTTTACAATTCCCCTTGACATGGGCATCAGTTAGCATCACAACATCACCAAACCTTAAGGAGTCATACTACTGCAAGTAATTATAATAATAGATGGTATTTGCAGCAGGCTCAGCCCGTGCCAGGCAGTGTAGAAACAGGATGCACGTCCCTATGCTGCAGCTTAGGGTCAGCGAGCAATGTACACCCTGTGGACTGCCTGCCCACAGAATTGCCAAATTGCACATTTTTTTTTTCAAGAATCGGCACAAAGCACATTTCTCTAACCCTTCCGTGCCTCTCGATTTGCCTTTATTTGGAAGTGTCTGGTCTTCGCTGCTAATCCATGTGAAATGACCATGATCGCAGTGAAACATTATTAGGGTGGTAGAACACAACGAGACACAATGGTGCGCGTTGCAAAAGCCAAAAAGCAGAAGCAAAACCAAAGCTGACATCAGAACAGTAGGGCTGATTCTTCCGGTTTCAATCCCTCAGCCTCCACTGCAGAGAGGTCCATCCCAACTGCTCAGATGAAGCTGAAAAGAGCCCGACTCGCAGATGATCTCAATGAAAAGATCGCCCTCCGGCCAGGACCACTGGAGCTGGTGGAGAAGAATATACTCCCCGTGGATTCTGCTGTGAAGGAGGCCATAAAAGGTAGTTAGAACAGGCGTCCTGCCCTGGGTCACTGTCCCAGAGTCCCCTCCATACCCAGAGGTCACTGATTCAAGTGATCTTTCATTTCCCTTAGTAAGGTTCTGAATTTTTTTTTTCAAGTAAAGTCACGTTAATTATTGCTGGCATACAGGAAATGTATGAATTTTGCACATTAATTTTTTTAACTTTGAAGAGTTTAATAGTTCCGATAGTTTCTCGGTTTATCTTCGATTGCCTAGGTACACCATCATGTCTCCTACAAATAATGAAAATTTGTCTCCCGCTTCATTGTTTTTCTGCGTTGGTGCACGGGCTGATACTTGAAAAGTAACATCAGGGTTTCATTAATGTATTATATAATTAGCATCATTAAAAAAATTATTTAGTATATTCATAACATAAATTATGTATAATTTTCATGTTTTATTTACAAATTACGTATTTGTGAATTATATGAATTTTATATAAATTGCAAAGTATACAATCTACTATATTATGCAAACTTAATATATACTTTATTACATATAAAATATCTATATTGTATATAGATGGGTATCATATATAAAATATATATGAATTATATAAAGCACATAATTTATGTCATTTCATATTATATAATGAACAATGCAATTTAACAATTATTAATATATTACATGGTAGAAAATTTTCTTTATTTGTACATTGCCAGGGATTCGGTTAGTATTTTATTATCATATATATGTTATGCTTTTGCTATGTTGATAACATTTATTTTTCTGTTTGTTTCTATCACAAATGGGGATTTCTTCTCTCGTGTACCTCTATATATGACACTAGCTTTTGGTATGTAGATAGGTATTCTAAGGAATTATTTCTCTCTGCTATCCTGCTAAGAGTAGTGTATAAGATGGATGCTGAATTCTTAAATGCTCTCAACATGCCCAGAAAGATGATCGTGTTAGTTTTCTTCTTCGACCTAGGACTATGGCATTCTCTCTTTTCTAATTACCTTGCACTTCTGGAAAAAAATCCTACATAGAAAATTTTTCTAGTAATATCTGATATTTTATTTGAGATTTGCATCTATTTTTTTTCTCCGTTAGGATAATTGTAGCTGCTAAAGCGGTCACAGAATTTCTGCAGCTTAGCAATAGAAGATCATGTCTTGTTCATCAACGGTCCAGGGAGGATAATGGTGGATCTTTCAGGCACAAAGTCCCTTTCAGTCTGGCTGCTTCCCTAGAGGAGGGCAGCAAACTTTCTTAAAGGACCAGACAGTAAATAGGCTAAGCGATTTAAACCGCCTGTCACAACTACTCAGCTCTGCTGCTGCGGTACCGAAAGAGCCGGAAGCAATAAGTCAACAAGTGGGCATGGCCGTGTTCCAATAAAACTTTATTAACAAATGCCGGCTCACAGGCCATAATTTGCCAACCTGTGCCCTAGAGCCCCCTCATCCTCTGCATCTAGCCAGTGAGGGGGAAGAAAGAATGGAAAGGCCCACCCACCTGTTTTAAAAGCCTCCACCTGGAAATGGACACGTCACTTCTGCCCATATTCCACTATGAAAATAGCGCGTATAGCTGGGGAAGGGTTTTGTCTGGCTGAACGGTGATTTTCCAGCAAAACGTGGGGGCTCAGTCTGATGACCCCGAGACCATGACCTGAACCAAAATCAGGAGTCAGACGCTCAACCGACTGAGCCACCCAGGCACCCTTAAAATGTGCATTTTTCCAAAAAAAAATTCTCATTATTCCACTGAATTACAAAGTTATTAGCCTAAAGTCGTATAAAGTCTTGGCTTTCAGCTGCTCTAAGCTGCTCTCAACGAGGGGTTCTCTATTTTTCAATGCAATGTTGCTAATTTGTGTGTTTTCTCGCTTCCTCCCTCCCTTTTTCATCACACTTGCTAAAAGTCTTAGTTAGTCGTTATTACAAAGAAGCAGTTCCTGAATTTGTTTTATGGTTGTTGGTTTCTGGCCTCTACTTGAATTCATTTAATTTCGCTTCTCATCAGGGTCATTGAGCAGGAGAAGCTCCATAAGGAGAGCTGAGGGTCGAGAGTGTTCACCATTTTCGGGTACAGTAGGGACAGGTTGAGGCAGAGGGAAGGTTAAACAACATGCCCCCCATTCAGGTGAGGAGTCCAAGGGCATGAGCAGGAGCGTGGTCAACAGAAATGGGTAGAAAGCAGTAACCATGAGGGCTAGCAAAAAAAAAAAAAAATGGGCGAGACATGAAGCTACCTAAAGGAACAGTTGCTATGGGATCCACCGCCCTCATTTTCAGAGCTGGACTTTGTGACTTTGGCCACACAGCCGTGCAGTGATTTAATCTCACATGACTCAATTGCTCTTCTCTGAAACCCCAACAACAATAATTGCTGTCTTATGGGGCCTTGGCATTCAGTTTTTTAATTATGTAAAGAATTTACTAGGCACTGGAGGTATGTTAGGGAGTTAGTCTAGTTTCTGATCTCCAGGACTTCACACTTGAGCAAGAAAAGAGGAAGAAGAAAGCCATCATTCCATGTGACAATTCCTCTGAGGGGACTGGATAAAAAGTCACAAAGATCATTCTGGCTGCAATGTGAAGTGGACTCAAGAGATGAGATATAGTGCCAGACTACTCTCTTCTGTTAGGGGGTTGCTAGAGTTGTTTGAGGAAAGTTGATGGAAGCATGAACAAGAGTCATGGCTGGGGGCTGTGGAAAAGAGGGACTCTGGGAGAGAATTGATTCTGCATGATTAGATGATCAGTAGAATACACCAGTTGAGACAAAGGGAAGGCAAAAGATAACACCTAGGTTTCTCTCTTGGGCAACTGGGTAAATGGCGGCCATTTATCAAGATGGGGACCGTGAGTTAGAAGAGCAGATACAGGGAGAGATGATGGATTCATGTTTCAGCTATGAGATTTGAGGGGCCCACAGAAAATCCAAGGACAAGGGACTAAGTGAGGAATGGGTTCTCTCGAACTAGAATGCAGGAGAATATTGGTGTAGAAGTACAGATCTAGGAGACATGAGTGTATATAAACATTTAAACTAATGGACTAGATAAGATTGCATTTTTGTTCATATATTTATTCACTATTTATGGAGTATGTTCCGTGTCAGGCACTATTCTAAGTGCTTGGGATATGTCAGTGAACAGAACATTTCTGCTTCAACGGAACTTATGTTCTAGTTGGGAAATGTGGGCAGTAAACAAACATGTAATGAATAATTGTATATCATGATAAAAGGGTATAAATGATGTAAAAGTAGTACAGGGTTCAAGGAATCAAGAGTGCCTGCTGGAGGGTAGTTGGGAGGAATGGAGGATGCGTAAAAGGCAAAGAGGGCTAGGAGGCTCGCAGGCAGTTATCTTTAAGACAGAGTTAGGGAGACCGTGAGGATGAAGGGAATGAATGGCCACAGAAAGAGGTGGAGGGTATGGGTTGACCAGATCAAGGAAAATCCAGCACCAGTAATGGGGACTGACCCAGGCATCAGCCTCTTAGCAGTAATCTTTCCATGTGCATAAGACTTTTTATGGTCAAGTGATGGCATCATATGAAATATCATAAAGACAGAAGGAGTTGCTTGGAGACTAGCTTTGGAGCTAGGACTTTGAGTAGCCCGTCTAGTGGTGATGATGACCCAGTCCCCTCATCTGCCTGTCGCTTCTTGTGATGAAATCAACTCCCCGTGGTGAAGCAGTGACTCAGGGCAGTGGTTCACTCTGGGTTGTTCTCCTGTCATCTGTGTATTTCACCCTCTCTTCATGCGCTTTTCCACATGTGCTTAGATTTTCCAGCTCTGTCTGCAGCTGGGTTTCTGTGTTCTGCCTGGCTCTGAGCAGAATACTTGGTCATGGTCTTCCTCCTGGTTTTAGTAAAGACCAAGTGTTCTCCAACCTGAGACCAATCTAGAACTTCTCCCCACACACAAAGGGATTGTTTTTTAATTTTTAATTTTTAAAAATTTTTTATTTTTTAATTTTAATTCTAGTAGAGTTAACACACAGTGTTATATTAGTCTCAATTGTACAATATAGCGATTCAACAATTCTACACATAACTCAGCGCTCATCATGATAAGTGTACCTTAATCCCCTTCATCTATTTCCCCCCCCCCCCCCCCCCTCCTCCCCTCTGGTGACCCATCAGTTTAGAGTTAAGAGTCTGTTTCTTGGTTGGTTTCTTTTTTTGCCCTTTGTTCATTTGTTTTGCTTCTTAAATTCCACATATGAGTGAAATCAGATGGCATTTATCTTTCTCTGACTTATTTCACTTAGTATTATACCCTCTAGATCCATCCATATTGTTGCAAATGGCAAGATTCCTTCTATGGCTGAGTAATATTCCATTGTGTATATACACTATATTTTCTTTATGCATTCATCTATTGATGGACACTTGGATTGCTTCCATAATTTGCCTATTGTAAATACCACTGCTATGAACATTGGGGTGCATATATCTTTATGAATTAGTGTTTTCGTATTCTTTGGGTAAATACCCACTAGTGGAATTACTGGATCAGATGGTAATTTTATTTTTAAGTTTTTGAGGAACCTCCATACTGTTTTCCAGAGTGGCTGCACCAGTTTGCATTCCCACCAACAGGCATGAAGGTTCCCCTTTCTCTGCATCCTTCCCAACACCTGTTGTTTCTTTTTTTTTTCTTTTTTTAAAGATTTTATTTATTTATTTGAGAGAGAGAGAATGAGAGATAGAGAGCACGAGAGGGAAGAGGGTCAGAGAGAGAAGCAGACTCCCTGCCGAGCAGGGAGCCCGATGTGGGACTCGATCCCGGGACTCCAGGATCATGACCTGAGCTGAAGGCAGTCACTTAACCAACTGAGCCACCCAGGCGCCCAACACCTGTTGTTTCTTGTGTTGTTGATTTTAACCTTTCTGACAGGTGTGAGGTGGTATCTCATTGTGATTTTGGTTACCCTTTCCCTGATGGTGAGTGATGTTGAGCATCTTTTCATGTGTCTGTTGGCCATCTGGATGTCTTCTTTGGAAAAAT